AAAAAAAAAAAAAAAAAACAGTTGAATTTTTAAAAGAAAAAAATAAATAAATGAAATTTAAGATTTATTAAAATTTTAATTAGCCATCGGTAATTATAATTTGTGGAAGGTAGAATTTAATTATATAATTATATAATTATATAATTTAAATTATTTAAAATTAAGTGGCCATTGTCATTCACAAGACTTGACGAAGCTTAAAGCTATGGAAAAAAAGGGCTAAGTTGACTTAAAAAAAGCCCTAATTTCTTGGACTGATTCTGATTTTGATTGGCTGCCAATTACCCTCCTTAATACCTTATAACATTCTTTATTTTTTCAATTAAAAAAATATCTGGGGCTTCCTTGTCACTATCCTTAGTATATTATATTATAATTATAATTATAATTATATATATATATTAGAAAAGTTTTCCAACTTTTAATATTAGAATATGAAGTGACCCTTTGAATATTGGCCCTTGTGGATGAATTTTCTGCCAATAATTATCTACTTTAGCTTATAAAGTGAAACATTTATAACCCATTTGATAATATTATAATCTATAGTTTGAAAAATGTTTCTAGAAACCCAAATTTTAAATGTAGATAACAAAATAACATTAAAAGTGTACTTTTACTTTTCAATAGTGTATGATAATTAATGTATTATCTCTAATAAAGCTATTAAAATAGATGAATAATGTGTTTTAATTAATGTATACCATTGTTTATAAAGCTATTAAGATGCAATTACGTGTATCGCACATATAATATATTAACATATATGTCATTTTCTTTTATTCAAGTCTTTTAAGATCTTTCATTAGATTATAAAAAAATATTGATAAAAAATCATTTTAATAATTAATAATTAGCCACTAGTGAAAATAAAACAACATTAATGAGAACTTTATATTATAAAATGGTTGCGGTCTAAAAGCAGTAAATAAGGAGAAAATGTGTCACATCCACTTTGTAGGATAATAAAAACCTGAAAGTGGAAGATAAAGATAAGCATAAAAATAAAAATAAAAATAAAAATACATTGAATTAATATATATATAAAAACTAAAAGCAAATTCCAACTTGTCTTTCCCTCCATTGGCCAAGACGTTAAAATCAAATCCAGTGGGTTCTTTGTCGTCTCTCTCGAAATAATTGTTGATTTTTTTTAATTAAATATACAGAGTATTAATTTTTAAAAATTTAAATATAAATATTATAAGATAGACTTTTACACTTGATATATATATATATATATATATATATATATATATATATATATGTATATGTATCTATACATGAGTACGTATATATGTATATTGAAGGGGCAGGGATTTGGACTAGGTTGGGAGTGGAGACAACCCTAACCTTGTGAAGGGGCAGGGATTTGGACTAGGTTGGGAGTGGAGACAACCCTAACCTTGTTTAGTTATTATTCTCCATTCTCTACTTAAGTTGAGTTGGTGTGAGAAACAAATGAATATCTCTGATTAACGATTTTGTTAAAGTTAAATAGCTTCAACTGTAAAGGTAATCCTTTGTCATTTTCATTAACTTGTCATTGATATCAATTTGATTTTCTTTTATCCTTATAAGATCCTATCAATTTTGTTGTCAAACCTTTTGTATTTTTGTTTCTAATGGTTAGTTTTTCTTTTGAATTGGTTTGTGAAGAATTAAGGATAAGGACAATAGAATTTGAATTTGAATTTGCATTTGATTATGGATTGGAATTGGGAGTTATTACTTGGGAAGCAATTTTTTTGAACGATTAATAAATTATGTAGGAATTTCTTTTATAAGAATAAGAAGACTTGGTATAGGTTTGAAAATGGGAGTTCTTAATTTTTTTTTTCTAAATTATTTTCAAAGTTCGTATTGGAATACACCATTAACCTAGATCACTCCTTTATTTTACATAGACAAAGACTATTCTAGAACGATATGAAAAAAAAAAAAAAAAAATCTATCTCACCATAATTTGATTTGATTTGATTTTTTTTTGGTTCAAAAATTAATTTTTATCGAGTTAGCATTAATTAAAATTTCAAGTTGCAAAAAACCTGGAATTAAATCTGGACTCGTTAGATGGACACAACTTTCCACAATGATATGATATTGTCCCTTTTGAGCATAAGCTCTCATGGTTTTGCTTTGGGCTTCCCCCAAAAGTCTCATACCAATGGAGAAAGTATTATTTGATTATAAACTCATGATCATTCCCTAAATTAGCCGATGTGGGACTTTCATCATCCAACAAGTGACTATCACTATATGATAGTAATGAGTTAGCTGCTACATGTAGGAGGTTTAGAGGAAGGAGAAAGGTTCAATTGACGTCTGATCGAAATGGAGATCTTCTACTGAATTCATGGTTCTTAATCAGTGTGTGAAGAAGGGGAGGAGAAATGTTATATGGCTCATCTCTTCATTGAGGTTCTCAACAGAATATGCATGCAAAGGCTCCTAATTTAGTGTAGCAAGTTCACAAGCAAATAATAATAAAAAAAAAATGTCAGAGCTTTAGGTAATGGTGAACACTGAACCAGCATACCTCTTTAGCTTTCCCAGCAAACCACCCAGCCACTTTGTTCAAAGAGCATAGGAGGATCCATATTGCAAACAATCGTCACTATGCCAATTGCAGATAAGTTGGATCATAATTTCTGCTTTTTAACAAGCCATTGCAAAGCCAGGACAGTTGGATCATAATTTCCTGAAGCAAATGTTGGTTTTGTGGGTGTGTTTTGGTAAAGAAAGTGGTTTCTAATTCATATTATCATTAAGGAAAAGAAATGACAATTTTATGTGCACAAGGCATTACTGAATGGAGCTGATTCCAGCTAGCTACATAATTGAATTTCATATAAACAGGTAAGAAGAGGAGAACACTTACAAAACTGACGGTCAGTGACTCAGCCATCCATGAAGAGATACATAACAAGGAATGAATATGGCCAAGTTGGTATTACGAAATCAGCAACTACCATCATCAGTTATGCCGAGATTTGGAAACCGCCCATTTAAAGTAACCACAATTTGCTTCAGGATTCGATGCGGGACCCTGGTGAAGTAAAAGAAAATTTCAGTTCTCTAAGGTGTAAATCAATAAAAACCTTGGCTACAAGACAAGTATCAATGCAAATTACATAAGTTAGTGGCAGAAATTGCTATTGAACGCATATTTATGATAAATTTATTCATTCATCAATACTTGAGTACTGTTCATCACCTGTGGACTTGGTAATTTGTAAAAATCCATCAAATCTTAAGTTCTATCCATACTTTAATAAAATGCGTAACTGAGAAAATAAGAGTGTTCAGTTACCTCAGCACGAGCACAAACATAAAATCTTCGGCCATTATTAGGACCTTGTTTCTTAACTACTCGAGCAACACAAGGTTCCTTATGGCGCTTGCAAAGAGGTATGCTATTCTGCATAACCTGCTGTATCCTCCGCCACTCCAATAAGGCAACGCCACTCTTCTCTCTCTCTACAGAAGATGCATTGATATGAGACTGATCCGGGTTTTCTTCTAAATATTTCCCTGAATCGGTAATATGAGTATCTGATCTAGGAATTTCAATAGGATTAGATTCGGAGGTATCTGCTTTGTTAATTGTAGAATTAGCATTAGAGCTGTCAGCAACGTTGCTAATAACCGAGTTCGTCTGGAAGAACGACTTTAATGACATCTGGGAACTCCTTCTTACTCTTTTCCTAGTTTCATTCTCAGGTAATGTTTTTGTATGTAGAGACTCGTGCGTAATTAAGGTGTTGCATGGAGCTTCCTCAGAATAGCCTCCACCGGAACTCTCTTCTGTTTTTAATAGAGAATCTTCAGTTTCTATGTTTGTCGAGGAACATGATTCACCAGGAAGAAGGCCTGATAAATCACCATTATCAAATGATCCATTGAGCCCCTGGGAACAATTCCCTAAGACGTCGTTCCCACTCGAAAATGAATTTGATATCTTGCATGTTGCTGAACCTTCAGCAGCTTGTTTTTTCAGTAGCATAGATACTGCATGTGTTCATGGTCACATTAGACTCAAGAGGAGAATATAAAAAGAAGCAACAAAACAGCTGACAAATCTGACTTCCAATTAAAACATGTGATTCAGTTATGCTGAGACGTTGGCAGTGCCATGAAATGAAACTAATCCTTCCAAAAACAATTGATACAGCCTCAAAGTAAGAATTAACACTATCAAATCCGAGCCCTACGTTGAATTTTGGAGTTGAGAATGGCATTTCCTCAACAATTTAAAAGAAATAGAAGAGGTCTTATAGATACATTCAATAACATGCATTCTTATACGTTCACACTTCTACAGGGATGGACATTTTTTTTAATATCGTAGGACTGTAAACCACTTGTCCATTTTGAAATTTTCCTCATTGCCTTTCGGACAAAAAAAAAAAAAAAAAATCAACAAAANTACATATATGAGCCACATTTATCAGATGATAAAAATATGATCAGAACACATTCAAGATGTAAATATGATGCATCAGAGCAAAAAGTGCAGTCGAGAGTAAACACAATTCCTACACCCATCATAAGCATAAGAATATTATTAATTCTGAATGGGGCGACCAAGCAAAAATGAGGAAATATCTCCTTACCAAGCGTTTGCTGAAGCCCGTGAATCTTGGGATTGTATCTTGCAGATAAAGATGGAGCACTATGTTGGGGGGTATCAGGGATTTCCAGTAGACTTGCATAAACGGGTGCATGATCAGAACCTTCTAGTTTAACGGTCTGCTCTCCTTTCCACCTATATAGCAAAGTGATATTAGAGACCCTCCACAGGGATGAGAAAATATGATAGACAGTGTGTATTACTTCATAACCAGTAATTGGATATTCTTTAATATTCATTTTGAAGAAACTCTAAATAATTTATGTTATCCATCTACAAAGCACTAAGAGCTGTTTGCGTCAAGCAACAGTGAGCACTTGGTTTTATGACATTGTCATTGTTTTTCACCGTGACAAAAGGCGATACTCAACTTTCCACAGTTCAACTGAAATGGAAAAATGATCAAAAGGCAATCATAAGGGACTAACATCAGATTTGGGTATCATTCAGACAAAAAAAAAAAAAAAAAAAAAAAAAAAAAAAAAAAAAAAAAAAAAAAAAAA